TTTTTTATTACGAGGTTATTTTTTGAGTTTATCTCTTCTTCTGACTTATTAGCTATATCTTTTTGTGTGGCTGTTCCAGGGTTTACAAAATTCTAATTCTTTTGAAATTCTTTCTCATCTTGAGTTGGTCTTTTGGCGTTGCCTGACAATTCCAGGGTTCACATGGTCTCTCCTTTCTTTGAGGATTGTAGCAGATTTGCTGGTTGCCTACCTACCAGCCATTCCAGCCTGCAGCCCTGCTTGTCCTCCCCGCCTTGTTACAGAGCTTCTATTCTAACAGTTCAAAATTCCAAAGGCTCACTTTCCTAGCTTTCTTTACAGTATGGGCAGGAGCAGGTGATTAGAACCTGGCCATTCGGAGCTAAGAGGAAGTCTTCTGAGTGCTTCTGGGAAAGGTTTTCCTCCTTCATAATAAATAAAATAAAATAAGATAAAATAAAATAAGATAAAATAAAATAAAATAAACAGCCTCCATTTTCGTTCACATAAGAAGTGATCTGGCAGTTGGTAATATAATGTGAGGCCCAGAGCTGTGACAGCCATACTTAATCATGAGGGCACAGATCTGAAGCAGCCAACACAGTGAGGATGCAAAAAGAGTTCTTGATGCTGTTGAGCTCTTTATCTATCTAGCCTTGGCTGCATCTGTACTGGTTGAGGTAACATATGTCTTGCTCAAACCCTTTTAGTATTTTGTTATTCACAACCAAAAGCTTAATTGTCTATAACTCACAGCCAGCCCCTAATCATACACTGTCTTAAAATCTCCTCTCATCAATTCATATGGCCTTGTATCATCTGGACCAGAAATCCTGTCTTCTCTTTAATACTGAAAGAGAACTTTCAGAAGGTGTGGTATTTGGTAGGTGCTAAGAGAAGCCATTTTGAATGGATGCCACTAACCTATTTCTCCTTTTTGGTAGATGGAGGGAGCAGCCTGTTGTTTCCATCTTATAAGGGAGGCGGATGGAATGGAAAAGAATATTGAAATGAATACTGAACAATCCAGATGTCTCACAATGGGTGAATGTTATGAAACTTGGTTTCTAGTCTTGATTTTGTTACTAAACAAGCTGTGTAACCTCAGGCCAGGTCTTCTAAAGACTTCCAAATCAGAGAAAAAACAAGTAAGACAAAACCCAAATGTCTTGTGAGTCTGTGAGATTGTTTTTATTTGGAAACAGATACTAGGTGAAGGCAGGTTTATCAATCAATGTTTATAAGTGGATATTCATTTGAATTGAGTCATGGAGTACTATAATACTCAATGTGGAAAGAACTAACATTTGTTCAAATCACTTCAGTTTATAGATGAAGAAATTCAGGCCTAGAGAAGTGACAGGATTCACTCAGGTCACCTTTCATGGAGTGGAAATGAAGATTCACATCTTTTGATTCCCAGGACCTATTTCTCTCAATGCTCCAAAGAGTCTTTCTCTTCCTCAGATCCAGAATAAAGCTGGTGTTTCCGGAAACATAATCAAAACATGGGTTTCTCCTCTGATTTTAAATGTCAGCAGTCAAGGAAAAATACAAACTTAAAAGAGTGACAGAGAATAGATACACAAGTCCATGGAACAGAATGGAGAATGTAGAAATAGACCAACTCAAATACACCCTACTGATTTTTGACAGAGATGCAAAAACAACCCAATGGAGTTTCGAAAGACAGCCTTTTCAATGAATGGTGCTCTGAAAAAGTGAAAAGCATAGGAGGAATTTTCAGTCTCTACACTAGGCAAGAATTCTTTGACTTGACATTAAAAACATGATCCATAAAAGAAAAAAAGAGATAAGTTAGGCCTCATTAAAATGAAAAACTTTTGCTCTGTGAAATATCATGTGAAGAAAATGAAAAGTCAAATTACAAACTAGGAGAGAATATTTGCAAACCACATTTCCAATAAAGGACCGATATCTATAATATATAAAGAATTCCCCAAACTCGACATTAAAAAACAATCTAAAAATGGATAAAAGACCTGAACAAATATTACACTGAAGAGAATGTACAGATGACAGAAGAAACACATGAAACCATGTCCAGTATCATTAAACGGTAGGGAAATGTGCATTAAAAACACAATGGGATGTTACTATACACCTATCCAAATGACTAAATAAAAAATGGTAACATACCAAACGTAGGCATGGGTTAAAGACAGCAGATCACTCATACGTTGCTGGTGGGAACATAAAATGGTACAGCCACTCTGGATAACAGTTTGGCAGTTCCTTGTAAAACTAAACATGCAATTAACATGCAACCAAGCAATTGTACTCTTGGGCATTTGTCTCAAAGAAATGGAAACTTATCATCACACAAAAACCTGTACATGAATGTTCATAGCAGCTTTCTTCATAGTGGCTCAAACTGGAACAATCCAGATGTCCCACAATGGGAGAATGTTTAAACTGTGGCATATCCTATACTGTGGACCACTACCCAGTGATAAAAAAGAGCTACTGATACATGCAACAGCTTCAGTAAATTATGTTGAGTGAAAAAAGCCAATGCCCTCAAATTACATACTGTAATGATTCCCTTTATATAACATCCTTGAAGTAACAAAATTATAAAAATGGAGAATGGATTAGCAGTTACCAGAGCAGGAGGTGGGGTAGGAAAGGGTTGTAGGTTTAAAAGGGTATGAAGGCCCCTTGTGGTGTTGGAACAATTTGGTATTTTGACTGTATCAGTATCAATACCCTGCCTGTGATACTGTATAATCATTTTGCAAGATATTACCATTGGGATAAATGGGATAAAGTGTATAGGGGAATCTCTTTGCATTATTTCTTAAAACTGCATGTGACTTTACAAGGACCTCAAGAGGTGAAATTAAAAATAAGACACACTTGGACACCTGGGTGGCTCAGATGGTTAAGCATCCGACTTCAACTCAGGTCATGATCTCATGGTTTGTGAGTTCAAGCCCCGCATTGGGCTCTGTGCTGACAGCTTAGAGCCTGGAGCCTGCTTCAGATGCTGTGTCTCCCTCTCCCTCTGCCCCTCTCCTGCTCTTGCTCTCTTTCAAAAATAAATAAACATTAAAAAAATTAAAAAAAAAAAGACACACTCAGGGCACCTGGGTGGCGCAGTCAGTTAAGTGTCCAACTTTGGCTCAGATCATGAACTCATGGTTTGTGAATTGAAGCCCTGCGTTGGGCTCTGTGCTGATAGCTCAGAACCTGGAGCCTGCTTCAGATTCTGTGTCTTCCTCTCTCTCTGCCCCTCCCCTGCTCACACTCTGTCTCTCAAAAATAAACATTAAAAAAAAATTAAAAAATAAGACACACTTAACAGTAAGCAGGTTTTAAAAGAAAAAAAGAGGTGTGGGGGGGAGGGCAGGGCTAGAAGTGAAGGGAAATGGATCCCACGCAGCACCCCTGTGGCTTTTCTGTCTCCACTCTCGAATCTCTGCTGTGTCTACCAGCAGACAGGTGGTGGCCAGGTTGGCTGTTAACAACTTTATTGATACCTACTCTTGCCTCCTTTTTACCAGGGCTATGATCGAAAAGGGGCAAGGAATCCCGTGGTGTTTGATACAATGGTAAATTCTACCCATCCTTATTTTTTTCTGGACAGAATATTTAGTCTAGGGCAAGGTGAAGACAGGAATGACAGGTTTTGTTACATTTTGCTTAATAAGTTGGGACTCTTCTCAAACCCACAGCCAATATTTAAGATCAGGCTAATCTGTTTCACTGAGCAGAACAAATTAGCACTGATGGAAAGAAGGCTAGAATTAGGCACAGGGTCTCCATTGACTGTCAACTTCTCTGTCCCTCTATCTCCTACGACTGCAGACTCTAGGGAATTCTGTCCTGGGAGCTACATTGAGGTAATACAATTGCTACCTTGCAGGACTCCTACCCCAAACCCCTTCTGTTAGCTAATGTCACAAGAACCCTATTACCCAATTTTTCAAATGAGAGAATGAAAGCTCAATGGTGCTAAGTCACTTGTGGCCCAGTCCCACAGCTGGTAGGGAACCCAAGTCTGTCCAACAGCAGGAAGGACCATGGTTGGCTTGAGCTTTCTTCCTCTTAATTGCTGTGTAGCCTGGGTCAAGTTACTTGCCTTCTTTGTGGCTAGGCTCCATGTCTAGGAAACACGACCATCACAGTGCCAGCCTCCCAGCCGCGGCACCCTGTGAAATCCTTGGTCTGGACTCCCTCATCAACGACAGGGTGCCTCTTCCCCGACCCAGTCACAAGAGATGGCAGGGCTGGCGTCTCTGGGGACCAGCACAGCCCAAGCCTGAGAGCTCAGCCACTAGGAAAATGGACTGTGCCTCTGGCCACTCTGCTCCTGCCCCTCACCCTCACCTGGGGGGCCCTGTGGCCCCCAACAGCCCCTTCTCAGCCTCACCAGTCTTGGGGAACCTTGCCTGCACTCCACGGGTACCAGCAGCTCCCCCTCTTCCTCTCTCTAGACTCAGCATTCCTGCTGGGATCCCACCCTGCAAGGACAACCTAATTAAAGGACTTTTCCCTCCACAAGGAGGAAGGGGAGAGAAAAGAGGGTTTGTGTGGGCGCCTAGCCCATGTGTCTAGGATCCTGCTCACACACAAGTGGGCCCAGCAGGTGCAAAGCAAGACCTGGGCTCTTGGTTCCCACACCTGTGGAATAGGGGGAGGACCATCTGCTCCGCGGTGGTGGTTGTGGGGATGAGTACTTGAGTGATGTAAGTGCAATAGCTGCAGAGTGGCTACACACGGGCACGAGGTAGACACTGGCCCCTTCCCTATGCCTACCATCCTCCCCCCACCCTCTAAACCCCATGGAATGGTCTGACACAATCAGGACCCCTGGACTTTTAAAGTGGTTTTTTTTTTTTAAATGTTTATTTTTGAGAGAGAGAGAGAGAGAGAGAGAGTGCGCGCGTGAGCGCAAGGGCGGGAGGGGTAGCGAGGGAGGGAGACACAGAATCAGAAGCAGGCTCCAGGGTCTGAGCTGTCAAGCAGAGACACCCAGGTGCCTAAGGACCCCCAGACTTCTCATCACTGAATGTCCCTATTCTGTTGCAATGAGGTGGGGTGGACCTTCTGGGAGACCTTCCCTCTCCCACTGCACACTACCTGCAGGAGCGTGGGGGGCCACCACAGCCACCCATCCCCTGGACAGACAAGTGGGACGCACACAAGTGCAGGGAACTGAAACCCTAGCTTTGCATTCCAATTACAAGAGGAGCTTTTTAAGCAAGGAGGCTCCAAGCACATCTCCAAAGATTCTGGTTTCATCGATCCGAGCCTCTCAGCATGGTTAGAAAATCTCCAACCTCTAACGTGGGACTAGAATTGAGACCCAGGGCTTCGGCTCTTCTCTTAGTAACCTCACTCGAAAAGGAGCTCCTGCAGGTCTGTGAAAAAATCTCAACAAGACTAGCAACGGCTTCTGGGCTGGGATGATTAGTGAGCAGATCTAGATTTTAGGCCTCATTTCATTTGAGCTGACTACGCTACTGGATAGAAACTAGACCAAATTTCGTGGGAGCCATTGCTTTGTTCTCAGGCCAGAGACTGTTCCCCTCACACCTCCACCCTCCCTGATCCCGGAGTGTGGCAAGAGAAGGTGGCCAGTGCAATGGAAAAAAAGCTCCTTAAGAGAGGGGCTGCGTGGCTATTACTTTCCAAGAGCAGGAAGCAAAAGCTGGAGCTGGAGACATTTTGCTGTGGTTTCAACATTCCCAAGTGTTTCCAGAAGAAATGAATGAGCATGAAAGTTTCCTGAAGAGATTCAGGAAGTCCCCTTCTGGCTTAGGTAACAATACTTCAGGCAATCCATCCTTTTAGTTGACAAAGAACGGGTTAAACACAGAAACTCAGTTACTCACGTTTGGCAGCATCAAGAGGCAATCTTGCAGCCAGCAGCAGCAGCAACCCCAGGAAACAGGAGAAACATTCCATGCTGAATTCTCACAGACCCAGGCAATCAAGGTTTAACTTTTAACTCCCTTGGCTCCACCCGCTAAGAACAACAGTGCTCTTCTAGCCTCTGCTGCGCCCCACTCCTTATTTTAATTAAATACAGGGTGCCTCAGGGCAGATCATGTGATGGTATTAAGCAGTCTTGCCTGATCTGGTCTCTGGAGTTCAAGCTCTTACAACTCATGTGCTTCTGACTCACTCACTCTTAGCATCTATTCTCTCTTTTCAGATGTGCACCGTTTCAATGTTGTGATTCCACATTTCTAGTTAAACGGACTTCCTTTCCTCTGGACCCTACTTTAATATCCTTCATCAAACAAAATTTCAATCTCCAACCTCATTATCAACTTGGTATGGTTCCTTTACTGAGTCATTCACCCACAGCTCACGTGGCCATGTCACAATTGCGCTTCTTTTGCTGTGCTTCAGATGACCAGCTCTTCCCAGTGCTTGTACATTCCCTTCCCAAGAGGAGACACAAGTGGGGGAGTGATCTCTTCCATCACTTGAAATTGGGGATGACATATATGGATAATAGCATATGTTGCACCAGAAGGTGCTGGAAACAGCTGCACAGGCTGCCAGTTGCTGAGAAATGTACTTATGAGCCCATTTTAGGAGATCTGTGCAATTCCATACAGTGTTTGGAACAACCTGCATCATTTCTGGTAACTGCTCTCCAAGCGTTCCTGTGTCATACCACGCAAGGCCAACTGCATAAAACATACTGTGTATTTCATGTTACAGAGAACAGGCACTGAGTGAAAAAACACTCTTGCCTGGAACACGAGTTTTATATAAGCAAATCGTGTTTGGTTATAGAGTGTGCAGAAAATGTGGCAACATGAACACTTGACTGCATGTGATGTTTGTCTAGGTCACGTCCACATGACCATCTTCAGTACATATAAAAATCCCAGTGGGGGTGCGGGTAAAACTCGGGGTATTAGTTTACGTTTCACCTGTGCTAACAAAGAATAGAAACTGAAGCCCAGGAGCACCTGGGTGGCTCTG